AAATTCTGATGTTGGGACTTTTTAATAGTTTCAATTTCCTTTATTCCAAATTTTTCAAGGAAAAAAAAAAAGAGTATGAAACATATTGATCTAATCCAAACACAGAATAAACAACAAAATCCTCCTGTGCTAAAAAGTAGTATTGTATATTGCTGTGAACCATTGCAACTCAGGTATACTGCTAGCAACATTTCTTGTAATAGATAACTTTTCCTTCCAATTCTTCAGCTCTTGTTTGCTAGTATTAGGGTGGTATCATGCACAGAAGAGAGCATGAGAGTAAGCACTGGGGGACAGCATTTCAATTCTTTCATGCTAATGAATGAGGATACAGTTGTCTCCTAGAGAGTATTTTGAAGGAGAAGTAATGAGAATTGGATACTATCTGTTTATTCTCACATATCTAGGAAGGAAACTTTTTCATATAGTGGACAAATATTTAAATATTTTTCAAATATAACCTATCCTCCTAAATGGCATGGAAATCTGTCATGAGGTCTTGGCATAACTCAGTTGGCAACAACTGTTGTTCTTCCAAAGCAGCAGCATTGGCACATAAGGGAGTGACAGGGGCAGACTCTAAGTATGGAAAGCTGTCTACTTGATAGCAACAGGAGACCATTTTCAGATCTGAAACTCTATATTCTGTAATAAACAAACAAAATTAAGCACAAGGGTCCTGATTCTTGGAATATGCATTTTCCCACCAAGCCTATTTATAAAACTGCCTGATAAAAAAGCATATAGAAGAAATTACTGTAACTCAGTATATCTGGGTTGTATCCCCAGCTCAGTTTGCCTTAAGTAAGCCACATTAAAAAAAAAAAAAAAATCTACTGAGAAAGCCTTTATACCTCAGTTTCCCCACACCTACAGAAATAATAAGTAAATAGGGGTGATCTCATTTGTTGTACCTGGAAAGATGCTAGCAAAGTGTCGTGCATTATTACTGCATTAAACTGACTGTACTTCTGAAACCCATCTGACGTTTTCCACTTGACATTGATTGTGGGTGGTAACATTTCTGTATTAATTTTGAAGAGGATGCATTATGCACTGCCTAATGTATAATCACACGGATTATGATTTTCTAAGAAAGGCAGTAACCTGTGAGATCCTCTCTCTTTTTCACTTCATTAAACCACCGCATTAGGAACTGTATTGTTTCATTACTGCTCCTGCCAACCGGCTCTGCTGTGCTCCTTACAGCTACGTGTGAAGTAGCGAGGTGAAGTTCATAACTATATTTGGGTATCAGAGTTTATTTCCCCTACTCTCTTGAAGGTTAGCATGACGAGTGGTTGAGGAATGCTAGGGGAAACCGTCATTAACACGAGCAGGCTGTGCCCGAGCTGGGATGGCCCCGCTGAATCCTGTTTCGTGTTGCGAGCTGTTAAACCACCAGGCGCTGGGATGGGGCTGGGACCACACAAACACAGGATCGGGTCTGTTCTGTTATCGCGTCGCTGAGACCGGTCCTCCGCGTCGCAGATAACAGCAGCTCTCCCGTACGTTGTCAGCAGTCGGAGCCTAGGGTTGAAGCCGAATTCTCCCGGGTCAGACGTGCCTGTGAAGCAGGGTGGTAGGAGAGGAAGTTTGGGGAGGAAATGAGTAAGTCACAGCCCGGCCCGCGTGCAGCTGCCAGGCAGGGTTACTGGAGCAGGCAGCAGCGCGGAGAGGAAGTGTTGCAACGCCGAACCCTCATGTGTGTGCGTGTGTCCCACTCTGAAACAGCCTCATCCTAGAAAAATCTGAGATAAGATTGGTTTTGGGAAACGTTACTGCACAATTAGTGCAAGAAGAAATGAGCTATTGTCATTTCTGAAAAAAGAGGGAGCATGCACAGCTCCTCCTTAGAGGTGCTCAGCACCCAATGAAAGGGAAACACCCAAAAAAGCAGACTGTTGCCTGAAGTTACTGGTTTTTTTATCTCCTGTTCTGCATGACTTTTTTGTCCTTTCCAAACTGAGTATTGTCAATGTTGGTGCACACTGGAGCTTTATGTTTTCCCAAGGAGTTTAAGATAAAATTTCTAAGAAGCACAGAGTTACACTGATACTTAGAAACTGTGGACGGGGGTATTCTCTATTTCCCATTATATCTGCATCAGGGAATTTAATGTAAAGAGGATATAGTGACGTGTACATTTTTATAATTTTGTGTGTATATCTACATGCTTTTCATTTTTTACAGCTGACTCCTGAGCATTTGGGTCCCTGAAAGAATGAGATGAATGAGAAGGGCATCCTAAGGGGAAAGGGGGAATCAGAAACAAGTGGTGATCCCTATGGAAAGAGAGGAAAGTAAACGTGACATTCCACTGCCAACTGGGTGTTGGTTTGCTATATTGTCTCCGTCAACAGCTCTTCACCTTTTTGGTTTCTTTAGAATACTTCTGAAGTAAAAAACCTTTTACCACTTCCTCCTCCCAGTATTTTTTTTTTCTACCACTGCATGACTATCAAAATGCTGCCCATCAGTGAAGTTTTGGTATGAAGTGGTTTATCAACCTTTGTTTGCAAAACACTGTTTACATTCCTTATTCTTGTCACTTTTAAGCTGATGAGAAAAGAAAACTATGAAGGGGGTGGATGGGTGGGTGAAGTCCATTCTCGGAATACTAGATACTTGCAAGGCAGCTGCCAGAAGGAAATTTCCCTGGCTACTTAGGGAGAGGATAGTTCAAATTGTAGTCAAAATTAGGATTGGTGCACCAGATTATGTGTGGGTGTGACAAATGAAAAAGGAAATGCTTGGTAAAGTATTTTTATTTGTAATGTGAAACTAACCTAAAATAGTATTAGTGGGTATTAAATTCTGTGTGTTCCAGTGGATCAGTTTCCTTGGAATACAGAAAATAGTTCTGCTTATAGTAATAGATCAGAAAATATTTCTGAAGCATTACTTTAGAAGAATGACTGAAGTTGAAATATCAGTAGTAGGGAATATATGATGCTATGGGTGTGGTATGCATCTTTTATCATATTGTTCTAAATATATGTTTATACAATCTTGAGAGACTCCACATTAGCATTCATCATATATAGTTATACAGTTGAAGATACACTTTCTCAGCTACAGTTGGCTTTAAAAAAACATTTTAATGAAGCCTTTCATGTCACTCACCTGTAAAGTGAAAAAAGTGTGTCAGTCAGTGAAACCACAGGTGACTGAAGCAGACTTCTGGGTGTAGCAGGGTAATTTAGGGCCCCATCTAACAGCAGCATCCTTTGCTGTGGGAAGGCTGAATCTGCTTCCACAGTTTAACTCTGTGGAGTTATCTGAAGTTCTACAGCTGTCAAGAAAGCTGTGGCAAACCATGTGGTGGTTCACCTGCAGGAATATGGGAAGAAGTAGGGTCGACCAAACAAGTTGCAATTCTCTGTCTCTTTTAATGAAAAGAGAGAAAATCTGAGACAAAGGTACTTAGGTAGCGATGAGTCTTTAGCATGTGAATGTGGACTGAGTGGTGGTATTTTTGCTGGGTGGAAGGTGGATGTTGGTTCTCTGGGCAAGACTCTGGACTGGGAATTGCATCCATTGTCTTGCCTTGCTCTGCCACAGATTTCCTTGGTGAACTAAGCAAGTAGTTAATGGCTTTGACCTCTGTTTTTGTGTTCACAAAATGAGATTCTGACCCCTTCCTCCCAAGGGTCTGTGAGGTTAAATAAAAGGATGTTTATAAAGTGAGCTCATCTTATTTTCATGGAAGAGGTGCAGTTTCAACATTTTCAAACAATATTCTCACCAGAGGAATTAGATTTTATATTTATTTACACAGTGATTCTGTCATATGTATATGCTTTTTCTTAGTGGTAACATCCCACCGTAGTGGGAAGTTCTGTACAAGTCCTTTTTTCTGGGGAGAGTAAAGAGGCCACTGACACCCCACAAAAAGGAGCCAGGACTGGCTGCCAAGGGCCACTGATGCCTGCGACACCCCCGTGCCAAGCTCTGCTAGTCTGAGCTGCCTTTGTGTGCTGGGACACCCCAGGGTGATGTGAGCAGTGTTGGGGTGCACACTTCCATTGGTACATAGGTGAAGGTGTCTGTTCCTCTTACCTCACCCTAAGTGAACCTGGTTCTCCTTCTGTGTGCGCTGTAGGTGTTACCAAATGCTCTTTCTGTGTACGTATATGCTTTATGATTATGCCCTGTGAAATGTCTTCAACTTCTTTCTTCACCCCCCCCTTCCTCCCTGACTTTGGAGGATGCAGTTCAGCTGGTTCTTTTCAACCTTTCCTTGATAAGTGCCATTTTTGGGCTGCCTGTTGCTAACTATTTGGTGCTGCTCAGTCTCACCCTTCCCCCCTCCTCTTTTGGCGGAGAAAGGATGCAGCATATTTCCAGAACGTATACTCTAATTCCAGCGATGAGGCTACCGTACATCTGGTGCTCTCAGTCTCCCCTGTGCACATTTTACAGCACGCTGAACTGCAGGCGAAGGGACAAGTGACCTGTCCCTGTGCGGTGGGACATGGGGATCGCTGCAGAAGGGGTCACAGAGGCATCGCCAGCGACAACCCAATGAACTCTTCCCAAAACACAGGCGTGCGTCTCTGCTATCACTTTCTCTCAGGCAGCCCCAGAGCGTGAAAGTCAGTGGTGGGGCGTGCATAGAGATAGAAACGCGGTGGGAGGTGGAATTGCGGTAGATGTGACTGATTTACGACAGGAGTTTCCTTTACAGTCATGAGGGGAATTTTGCTTGGTCACAGCAAGTTTGAACCCTCATGAAACAGCCTGAATCATTTGAAGTTAAAATAAAACAGAGAATGGCAGGGGGAGGGGCATGGCTGGTTTTTTTTTGTTTTTTTATGTGTTTTTTTTTAAAGACTAAAAACACTGCGTTAAAATTGTTTCCTATGGTGCTGACTTCTTAAATGGGAATGTGATCCAGAATAGTTCTGGTGTGCAAGCCAACATTTGTTTTAAGAATTTGTATTGTCTTCTTTTCTCTCTTCCCCCTCTCCCTCTTGCCCTCCCTCTCTGCTCTGCAGATTTACACTGACTGGGCTAACCACTACCTAGCAAAATCTGGCCACAAGCGGTTGATCAAGGATTTGCAACAGGACATTGCAGATGGAGTTCTGCTAGCAGAAATCATCCAGATCATCGGTAAGACCAGAGCTGAGAGAAGCACTGCGAGCTGACTCCTCGCATGGGGGAATATATAATTCAAGTTGAATGTATTTAACAATAAGATGAACCCTGAGTAATACCATTTGACTGGGTCCATATGTCTCTGATATTTGTGTGGTTCATCCTTGTCTTAATTAAAAAATGTTTATGTGAGCATGTTTGGAAGTGGCTGTTTAGCCATACTTTAAATGGCCAGAACTGTATCTTACACACTTTGAATTGTCAGAAATGAATGCTCCATTAAACCATATGTCTCCCATGTGTGCATTTTGTTAGTTGGAGTGGCTCATACTTTCTGGGATGCCTTGAAACTGTATCCTGACCCTGGAAAGACAATTGTGGAAGATTTCATGTCAGCAGTTATTTTGCAGGGGCTGAAGAATTAGCAGCGACCTCCTTCGCACTTCCCCCTTTGCATGATTTGGCATGTGGAAGCAACTGCTGCTAACAAGAGTGTTGTTACTGTACGACTGAGCTTTACTTAGAAAGGAGCTCTGTGTCAACAAAACTTTGTGCATTTTATTGCTGTGTCTTTTCTGCTCTTCCTTTTTTTTTTTGGTTTTTTTTTAAGTCTTTTTTGTTGTTGTTTTGGCCAGGGAGTGGAAAGTTTTATCTCATTGTTTACTTCTGCTTTTCCCCTCACTGTTTTTGTTTAGCAAATGAAAAGGTTGAAGATATCAATGGCTGTCCCCGGAGCCAGTCTCAAATGGTAAGAATGAAATATATTTTTAGTCTGTGTTGGCACCTCTGCACTTTCCTAACATGCTTTTTAATAGTGATTTCTTTAAATTGTGAATGTTCTGTCCCATGTTTACCATAAAGTCTGAATTCTCCTATAGTGTTCCTAGTACTTTTTTTTTCACATGTGCTTAGTGTTTGTCACTTCATTTCTGTGCTCACTAATTTTGGGTCATGAGGTAACCCAGCAGCAAAACTTCATCACTTTTAATTAATCCAGAACTGCCTTAACAGACCTGTTCTGATGATCCAGATAGTTTCATTTAACTTCATTTCTAAGGGCAGTAAATCCAAGAAAAAAAAATTAAGTGGAGACTTTGTGTCTGGAAAACTGGTCTGATGAGCAAGACTTGCCAAATTATTTTTGAATATAAATAGGCTTTTGGATTGTCCACTGTAAAGTCCAGTTAGATGCACTGGCTCCAAGACTTTCAGAAATAGCAGTTTAGTCATATAGCTCTCTGAGCTATAGCTGGCAGCTGCTTAAAGACATTTTAATACTCTCAGGCAAGAAGCATTTTGTGACTGTGATTCATGTGGAGTCTTATTAATCTTTTATTGTGTTTATAGCTAGTCAACTACATTTAATGAGATAAAGCCTCCTTAGAAGGCTGTGGAACTGACAGGAACAAAATCCGAGCCTCAGTAACATCACCATGCATTTACTGAATCATTTGCTGTTCCAGTTGTGCTCCCCCATGCTGAGGACTTTGCCTCTCAGTTCACATCCAAATAAGATGTGAATAAGGTGCACGGTTCTGTAGCTGGCAAGGATTTTGTAGTGTAATGATTTGGATGATTTGGCTCGCATAATAGCAAACTACTGACACTAGGCTTAAAAATGGAAATTAAGTTAAAAAACCTGCATTTATTCTATGCATTTTTTAAAGAGGAAAGGCATATTTTCTGCCAAGCTGAGAAAGGTAAAATGAAAGATTTTGAGTACCAGTGAGATGAATAATTGGATCTTTCTGTTCTTATTTTTCAAAAAATGTGCAGGTTTAGAATAAATTTCTTCTCTGACTTTCAGGCTTTTTGAAACAGTCCATAGCAAGAATATATGCAATTTCCTTAATAACAGTTATTATTTTAATTACTCATATTACAGCAGCACCTAGTGGCCCCGGCTGAGAACGTTGGGAACTCCAGCGTGGAACTCTAATATTACACACACAGATCGAGAGATAATCACTCTCTACTTTAATCACATTAAAATCTGCCATTCCAGACAGACAAGATAAACAAGAAGAGACAAAAGCACAGAAAAGTGATACGATTTCCCGAGGTTATGCAACTGGTTAGTGACCACCTAGGGTTGCTCAGGGACCCACCACTCTGATGTCTACAGAGAGTCCTTTCCATGAGAAAAAGCCGAGCTACAGAGAGAATTATTCACTCTGGCAATGTTTGCATCTTCAACGCAACATTTGTGTGTGTTCCCTGTTGACAGCTAAATCTTTATGTGGCACAGGGATTCTGCATTTCACGTCTAGCTCTGCTGCAGTTATGGGGAAACTTGGTCAAGGCATGCCTGTGCCGCACTAGTACCTGTGGGAATCTCTTTGTGTCCACCTTCTTCCTCCCATGCCTTTTGACATACCAATGTTGTACTGCTGATTTCTTCAACTGAGTGAGGAAATTTAAAATGCACTGAAGATGAAGTAGTTCAAACATGTCAGCTTTCCTCTCAAAGCATCTCAAAGTCACCAGGTACTGAGCCTGGTTTCCATTTGTGTCCTTTGGATTGTGCACTGCTCTGGCCTAGGTGCCATCTTACTGCATTTGCAGGTAATTTCCCATGGCAGTGCTCAATTTTGTTAGCCCACTCAGTTAATGATAGGCCAATTCTCTTCTCCTTATAGCCGTGGAGCCTTGGTAGTTTCTAATATGCAGAAAAAAACCATAATAGTGGTTGAAGCTCATTTACATATTTGGCATATTCCAATATGTAAGCACTATGTCCAGTCAAGATTTGTCAGAACATCAGCCATTAAACCAGCAACAATTACGATATTCCTGTAGCATGCACATTAGCCATTCCTTCACTGCTTTCATTTTAACATTTCAGTTTCTAAACCTCAAGAATCCCACCACCCTGTTCTTTCACATATGTTTTCATGTTCCTTGCTCTCATAACTTGCAGTTAAGGAGAAATGTTTTCTGTATGCATTTGCCATTTGATACCCTTCCCAGGAGGTGATGTCTGAGATATCTTATTAGCTTAAAAGAAGATAAAGAGCACTGACATGGATTGTCTGCTGTTGGAAACACTTGATATCCTCTGTAGTTTATATATCAATTCAGAATTAATCACTGCCAATATTTCCAAGTTCTGTTCCACTCACCATTTGATTTTCCTCTTGCAAATGGCTTGATCTTTTGAGTGATTTTTAAGGCACCTCAACTCAACTGTTACCTTGTAAACATCTTTTAATGATTATTTCAAATATGTAGAATGCTGCTTTTTTCAGTTTTCTTTTCGTTAGGTCTGTGCACTCTGTGGTCATCTTGGCAGTGTTGCATACCGTACTTGCAGACAAGTTGAACTGGCTCCACAGATTCAAGTTCATTAAAAGTAAAACGTGTGAACCCCAGCAGCATCCTCATAGCTGCCATTATGCTCACACATTTGATGTCACACACTGAATTTGAGAACCTGACATGTACTGGGGAATAAATTATTTCATATTCAGTCTCAGAAACCTTAAATAAATGAGAGTTGTAAGAGAACTGGCAAGAGTTCTTGTTTGCTGGGTAAATCTACTGTAGTTAAAAAGACTTTGGCATTTCTTATGAATGGTTTTAATAAATATAATGACTTAAAACTCTATGTATTATAATAGACATTGTCTACAGGTTCATACAGACTCTTCTCCTTGCTGTGCCTATTTCGTTCTTTACATCTATGCATTCAAGGAGGAATATGGCACTTCAACTTTTTTTCCTCTCTTTCAATTCATCAGTGGAAAAAGTACCACATTCATTTCTATATTTTCCTTGTATGAAATATCCCATAAATCTATCCATTAAGGAAACCTAGAACTATCTTTCTTTTAGAAGATAATGTCCTTTCAAGGGTTTACCTTTTGATAAAACCAAAAGCTAATTTCTTTCCGCTTCTTTATAAGCCATTGTTTTCTTTAATTTCTATTTTAAGTTCTCTCATCATTAGAAAAAGCAGGGTAGTGTCCTGGGTAGAAAATAGATTACAAAGCCTTTCTGTAATGGTCCAAAGAGAAACAGTTCAGATTTTTTTCTTCCTGAACATATTAAAAATGTATGGGAAGTTCTCCAGTGTTTTGTCTCTAAATAGATCATATCAAACATATAGTAAGCATACAGATTATTACAGATTATTAATTTTGAGCCATCTTAAGGCTGTCAGAGAAAGTGCAGGAGACCGAAGATGTGTTGGACTGAAAATCTTTTTATGGTGACACTTTCAGTATTGTCCCTTGAGAATTTTATAAAACTAATGTTTTTATTCTTTCCTCATGCAGTGTATGGTGCTTTCAGTTGCATAAATAGTAAAAGAAATTAAAAGTTGTAAAAACATTTTATGTATTGTTTTTCAAGTTGATTTTTCCTTCAGAGATTGATGTTCTTTTATTAGTTTTTTTTTCTTCCTTAGAATTAGCTCTTGCTACTTCTTGTGAGAACTATGTCAGTACACATCTATGTACAAAAGCACCCTTAATTGTAGTTGATAGCAGGGTTTTTCTCATAGTTATTAGAAAGCTGCAGGGACCCTTCTTATTAAAAGGTTCCTAATGTAGTTACATGTATTAATGAAGGCTATTTTTCATTTTGTCAGTCTTACCTTTGGCACATTTCTCTACCAGTTTATATAACCAAAGGTATACTTCAAAGGTATTTTTTATAGTTTAGAATACAGACATGCCACAGTCCAATAGAGGTAGTTGAGTTCAATTAAAATACAGGTCTTGCTTACGGCATCTGGGAAATCAGGGAGTTTTAAAAGGTGTTACAGCTGTAGCACATTGCCAAATGGATATGAACATTTAGTAAAAAGCTGCAGTTAGCAGAGCTGACACCATCTGTGGGTGAGTAGCAATGTATCTGTTAAAAGTGGGAATCAGTGTGACTATGTACAGCACTAAGATAATTTCTACAACATTGTACTTATTTCATTCATAATGCTTTTTTAAAGCCATTAATAAATTGAAAATGTTTCAGCAAAGAGCCACAAGAATGCCAGCAACTTTACTATGTTCTATGAGACTGAAGCAAAATGGTGTACTTGAGCAAGAAGAAGGTGGAGTGAATGAGTCTCTGCTTAAAAAGGGGACATTTTTTGCAATAGAGAGAACTTTTTATGACATAGTTAAAGTAAGTGTGTGAAGTCTGGAGCTGAAGTAGGACAAAGTGACCATGTCTATACTGGTAGACATCACTGTGTAATGTGTTGGGTAGTTGTGCTTCGTAGTGTTCCTGCAGTCCCACAGAACCCCCCTGTGACTCCCTCTCTGCTGATATGCTTGGGTTTCTCTTTGGAGGAAGCCAAGGTTGCAGGGGGTGAGGTGCATGCAAATCTCTTAGCAGGAAGCTAGCCTGTGCACAGGATGAACAGGTGGAAACTGGAACTGCTAAATGTGCCACAGAGTATACCTGCCCTACAGTATGTATACTTCACTATAGATACCTGCCTTCAGACTTCCTCTGACAGGGTCACGACGGCCAGACACCTGAGTAGCATCCCTTGGTATCTAGGAATGGCAACATCTAAGGAGGAAAATATCAACATTAGCCTTCTGTGTCAAAAAATTGTTTGTGAAAAACAGGAAAATTTTGTATAAATTATGGTAGGTACTACTAAGGTCCATAGAATTATATAAGAAAATATATGGGAGAAGATTACATGGAGCTCTTTAAGGACTAGGAAGCCTGAAAATGTCATTCCTGCATTCACTGTCAAGTGGGCCCACATGTGAGCTCTTTTTGTCTGCACAG